TATAAGGTTCTCTCATGTTAGGAGAAAGAGAAGGCTCCCCCTGGCCTGGCTTCGCCCGAAGGCGTGCAGCCTTCAAAGAGCCATTCCTCCCCCTCTCTCTTTCTCTCTCCCGCTTTCTCTCCCTCTCTTTTTTACTCCCTCTTACACACAAACAAGGAGGACATTTTATTTGCTGTTGTAGGAATGGTAAAATTCAAAAATTTCTTTTTTTCAGGATTCGAGAATAAACAAAAAAACTGACCCAGTTGTCAAGTACTGATGCAGCTGGCATAGCGAACGCCATGGCAAATTCACGTTCCGACGATCACTCCCGAAGTCGAATACTTGGAAAATCTAATATAATTCCTTCTATTTGATGCCATTATTCCTATGGAATCAAATGAATGTAAAGGGTTGTCAGCAAGAGTGAAAAAGTGCAAAAATTGGCATCGTCGTACCGCCCTTATAATCATGTTGAAGCCAACTTTTTGCAATTACTGATGGAAATTTTAAATTACCAAAGGAAATTTGTGAAGATTAAAGTTGGATTGGACATTGGATCCACTTTGTCTATGTGGCCTTTCGTCTCTAATGAAAACGATATTGTCAACTATACCACGCGAATTAACGAAAGGTAGGTAGGCAAGGTAACTGTACAGGGATTCTGAAGTAGACTTCGGAGTTTAGTGGTCTTTGGGCTCATTTTTTATTAACGACCTTAATTTCAAAAACTCTTAAGATCACTGGGTAGAGGTGGTATGGTAGCACTGGCATTATCACGTACGCATGGTTACGGGTTCGAATCCGAACCGATATCCGTCTAGGCCGACTAACAATAAGCCTCAAATCCTTCCAGGGTTGGTCAATAGTACAACGGGGGGCTACAACAAGTAATTGTATAGGCCACATACGCATTCGAAACGTCACTATGATTTGAGTGGAGGAGGAATGCGAGACGCAACCCAATAGGGGATCGATTAACACTAAATATTCTGATTTACACTTGATTTATGCAATGAGCTGTAGCCCCTCCCGAGGTTTTTCTTTAGGGTCAGAAATTTAGTAAAACACGAATGAAAGTCCTTCCAGGGTTGGTCCTTCAACGAGGTTTGATACATGGAGAGCGCTAATACAACGGCAGACCAGTAAGTGGGTACTGCCCTGAAATGTCTTCCGTGCTTCAAAGAAAAAGAAATAGGAGTTTTGAACATGGCTATTATCAAATATTTCAGAAAAAAAAGGAAGTTTCTAAAAATAAGGATACTCTTTTCTAAGAACTTGCCGAACTTCAAATTTCTTTTTTTTCAGTTTGACAAATAAAGACCCGCAGAGTTTTTTGAAAGTCGTGATGTTGCTCCCAGAAACCAACAAAAATTCATAACGAAATGGTTGAATGAAGGAAAGAGTCTTCCGAAAAATCAAAAAAAGCCTTCCGCCCTTCAAAAACCTGAAACCCCCACTAAGAGCGTCTTGAGATGGTAGGAGCAAATGGCAATCGCCAGTTGGCGCAGGAAGAGATCTGAAGCTACCAGATTTGACGGAGATCAACGAGTAATCCAATGGAAAGAGCGGCTTGACTAGCCAGCCAGCATTACCAGAATGAAGCCGAAGCATGGGCAAAGCAGTCAGCCCGTCTGAGGGCTTCAACCACCTTCTATGCTCAAGTAGAGCTGCGTTTCATTCAAGGCCAAGCGAAAATTTCGTTGACCAATTTCGCGAAGACCACTGGAATCCATCCTCCGGGAAACTATGTGGATCTACTTTCTTTCTTTTTTCGAATTTCATCCTCGTACAAAGTAGGGGAAGGCTAAAGGGGAAAGAGTGTTTGACGGATTCTGGAGCAATTGAAATATAAAATAAAATTACATGTACTAATTTTCACGTTCCTCCTGCTTGACGAGCCTAATCTCATCGTTTTCTGCCCGTTCCAACCCTGTTTTCCTGAGAAATCAAATGACTTCGACAAGGCTCGTCCAAAAAGGACGAAAAAAGGGCAGGGCAAAGTCAGGTGGAGGTGGAGGTCCTCGGGACGTGTCATGGAGAGGAACTTGGACAAAATAATGAAAATACCCTAGCAGTTATTTTGATGTCCCTTCGTGTCGAATTAGGAGAGTGTCATTCAGAGTCAATGAATACAACGCAAACGACAACCTATACTCCACCGAAAGCACGAAAACACGGAACAGAGAGGAGAGGATCAGAAGCCTATTTGAGGATTGCCATTGTTGAATTAATGGCCTAAGCCTAAGCCTCCTGTGTGGACATCCTCCGCCTCACATCCATTGCCATCATGAAAGTAATGAGGTGCTGCTGATAATGAGTTGTGAAATGGGATTAGCTTTGAAGTCAAGGAGGTGAGACGAGGTCAACGACACATGAATGGGTCGATAAATTGCTAGGATTACCTTTTTACCATTCACGGCTCAATTTTTGGAATGCGCCATGCTCCCGTCCTTAACTTAAAATGTCAACGTAGAAGCGCTTGAATAGCTAGCACAATAGATTGCGTGGGATAGCTGTTGTTTAATTCATCGATTTAACCTTCCTATACGATCTATGTAGTTCCCGCTCACCCTTCACAGGGAATGGGAAGTCTAAAAAACCTGGGTAGATATTGATTGGAAACCTAATGACCCTACCAAATAGTGCCACTTGATCCTGATTTTACTCCAGAGAAGAGCTCAAAAGAATCTTAAAAGACAAGTAGAAGTGGGTTTGGCAAAGCAAAGGATATGGGACCGCCATGTTGGAACCTTAGCACGATGAGCCTACCTTCTGTGGCGCTTTTTCAGGGCCCTACTTAATTCCATTTTCGTAAAGCAAAACCAGACTTACTGACCATTGGTAAGTCCGTTAGGACCATATAGGATCCCCAAACGTTCTAAGAAGATCACCAACATAGAAATTATAGCACCAATGAGGTCCCAGGATCAGAGTCAACAAGGATCCCTTCACATCCCTATACCCTTCGTGAGATTCCCGCTCCCCGTCGAATTCACCTCCTTTTTTCTGTTCATCCCAAGGCCACCAGCTTGAATGGTGCAATAAATCTGCAGCTTACGACCTGGAAACTAACGATCAATTACGATTCCTTCCCTCCGGGAATGACCAAGTGCAACTCCTGAGTGAATAGTCTTCACAGAACCTGGGAGACTCCATACGGCTAAACGGAAGAAAACTTCGTGGTTCAAGAAACCGGAAGAACTTTTTTAATAGTAAAACGAAGAAGCATAATTAAATTGAAGCTACGGTATCACAGCATAAGGCAAAATCACGCCTAATAGCTAGGGAGAAGAACTCATTTCAATGAGTGACAGATGCGATTGAAAAGCAACGGAGGGACAGGTTTTTCTCGAATTTTTAGGTGTGAACTTACGTAAAACTATTAGGGGATTGACGAAGTAAGAACTTCAATGGGTACAAGGAAATTAGATGAGAATACTAACAACTGCCTACAGGAAATTACTTGGACACGCAATTTTACTCAAACCGCTGCAACTCAATTTGAGTTTAGGAAATATTTAGAATAAATATGGCAATAAAAAACACATAACTGAGGTTACTAGGTAAAACCGTGCCTAGTTTCTGGTGACTTTATTTAGTGCCCTTTTCCTCTTTTATGAGTTATTATATTAACATCGAGAGTAATCCAACAAAATGGCCATCAAAAACTTTTTCGTTGCATTTGGAAACTCGAGGGCTGTTTTTACGAAACGTCATCCACTGATCATTCACCTAGATAGCAAAAAAAATCAGTTGAGGACCATTCTACACATCCAGCTTTTTTTTATTTCCCAAGACGCCATCCTGAAAGCTCCCACCTGTACTTTGTGGCGGCGAAGACATAGGGTAATGAATTGTAAAGGGCAACAAACTTGTTCAACTGACAATCTTTTTATCATTGAGTTTTATGAAAGAGTAATGGGAACATCTAAATGCATTCAGAGTAGCTTGCACGATCGACCGGAAGGACAGAAACCTTGCCTATTTTGGCCCCTACCGACTTCTTCAGGTCATGCAAACTTTGTATATCGCCGGAACCAACTGATAACGGACTCCTCTAGGAGGGCAAGTCAACATATCAGGTGGCTTTCGTAATTCTGTAGGACCAAATACTTATTCAAAATGCTACCACATCATGGTAATGAATGGAAGTGGAATGCCTGGACAAATCCCTCAACGGAGATACTTGCGGCCGAAAAAAACTCTATTCTTACAAAATGCAAATAGAAATTAGATGCGTATAAGGTTTCAAACATCAACCAGTCAGAGCAGTACCACTTAACTAAATAAACTTTGGACCAGGCCACCTACGAATCCCGTTTCGAAGTGCCACCAGTTTTCGCGATTTCATATGGTTTTCGGAAAAAAACGGGGAAATTTTTTTCATGGACGATAAGATACGATAAACCTTGTATTTTTTCCGTCATTTCTTTTTTAAAGAGGAAAAATGCACTCAAATCCACTCAAGGGCAGGTACGAACATAGACGTTACTGGTGCCCTCTCGAGGGAATCGACGATCAACGGGACAGGTGATACAGATGGAGCTGAACTGGGTCCCAAAAAACCCGCTGCAGTGGGTCATCATAAATTAGAATACTCTTCTACAGCTACGGTAAAAGAAGGCGTGACTTCATGGAGACTTATTTTTAATTATGACCTACTCCGTACTATTGAACTTTTTCTTCGAAAAATGCAAAAAGCGACTAATTCACCTCCCTATTATGCAGCATCCAGAAAAAAACATCCTCCACCTAACTCCCATACTTTTCCTATTGTCCTAATTATTTTTTACATTTTTCTCCAATTTTTTTTCCTTTTTTTTCAATTCCTCTAGAAGTGTTTCCTATCA